AACATTTTGTTAAAGAACCAATAATTTAACACTAGGAGTGCACACACACATTTTTGAAAAGACTGCTGTACTGAATGACAATTTTAGTTCTTGCTCTCAAGTAGTTTAACAACATAAATCAGAACTTGTTTGCCTAAGTGAAAAAAGAAAAAAAATAATCTAAATCCATTGATTTTTATCTGTTTTAGAATCCCTAAGGGTAGGTACTTTGTCTTAATGTCCTGTGAAATGTGTAGAATCATTCTGTGAGCATAAAATGCACTCTACCAGATGGTATTTGATGGCCATGTTCATCTTTAACATGAACAGAATATTAGTTTAGGGAAGATATGTTTCCTTTTTCAAAATTCCTGTTTTCCTGTGTCTAAGTACATCGCTCAATGTTTCAAATTCCCATTGGTGCTTCTGAAAAATGGGTGACTTAAATTAGATGCAATGATTAAGTTGTTGAGCAGACTAGAAAGAATAGTTGCTTTAATCTTTAAAGATTTTTTTTTTTTGTCCATCAAGCCAAAGTTAAAGGAAAAACTAGCTATCTTAGTTCATTGTTATTAAACATGTATCAGCAAACCAAAGACTAAATTCCATTACTCCCTAGCTATTCAAAGTGAGCTTTACTCAATCATTTAACCTGAGGTATATATTTAACCTCAGGTTGTTTATCTGAGGCCAAATAAAATAGGAGCTAGTCATCCATTTGCTATTGTTCCTTAGCTCACTAGGCATGTTTACACCTTATGGCATTTTCCCTTGCTATACCCTCTGCCTCTAATGCCCATTTCTATATGACTTGCTCTGTCATCTTTTGCATTTGTCAGATTTTCAGATTTTCCTGATAACTTCCCTCATAACTGATATATAAGTGAAAATTATCACTCTACCCTCCCCTATATGTCCTTCCTGAATTATTTTATATTTTGGTAGGACTTCTTTGGATCTGAAAACTATATATTTTAATTTTTTTTTTTTTCACTAACTGTTCCTACTACATTGAAAACTGCATAAGGGAAGATTTTTTTTTCCCCCGTTCTATTATTCACTTGTGAAGTCCGAGTGCTTAACACAGCATAGATGTTCAATAAATATTTTTTGAATTAATCAGTTGTTATTATCTTCACTTTGTAGTTAGGTATCTTGCCTGAGAGGAGGTGATACAGTCAGTGCTGGAACCCAGGTGGCTGGCTCCACAGCCTACTGGGTAAACTCTATAATAAGCCCAGGAAAAATGAACGTTACCATATTTCTCTTAGATCTTCAATAAAAAGCTCAGATTTTACTTGACAGATAAAAATAAAACATAAGAAATATTTTTGTACTAAGGATGAGTAATTCTTATGTATTAGATTATGGAAAATATTTTTTTAAAAAAAACCATTGCTTTTAAAAGATGAAACAGTTACTATTATCTCTAGATTAAAAAAAAAAAAAGGAGTGTCTTCCAATTAAATAAATTATAAAGAACACTAATTAGAATGATATCAGAAAGAATAATATAGTTGAAGTCTTTTTTCATTTCCCATTTACCTATTAGGTTATTGTGAGGCTTAAATGAGAAAAGGCATGCAAATATGGTTCCTGACGTATAGTAAATAGTCAATAATTTTAACTTAAAGATTCACTATTCAATATCAGATATAAACTCTGCCCATCATTTAAAGAAAGCTATCTATACTCATAAATAGAAAAGCAAAATTTTAAATGATTTTAGAAATATATTTTAGGGCACATATATTCACATGATCAAATCTTAATACTCCAAGAATCATTGCTTCTGCTGATTTCTCCTATTATTACTTTTATGTGTTCTTCCTTTAGATATTGGCAAATAGAGATATACAGTATTTATACTGGAGCTAACACTTGTAATGGATATATTTAAGAACTCTGATCTAGGTAGCACCATTTTCCCTTGTTTATTTAGTTGACTGAGAAATTCTTAATCTTCCCTAATTACGACACTATTTGCCACAGATCCTGAAACAACAGAGTTGACTAAGAGGATAAAAGAAAGAAAACAGTCAAAGAAGGATTTCTTTCTAAATATGGATCTTCGAAGTTTTCAATATGGACATAACCTCACATAAGAATGAAGTAGTCTAATTATTGGCTTTCACAATCTTTAAAAGCCTGAGGTATTTGAACAGTTAAACAAAACTGGAGAAATATTTCAAGGTACTTCAAGGATTGAAAGTAATGAATTTGGTTGAAAAAAATTAAGAATCCGCTAGGAATTCTTCTCTATTGTTAGTTTACTAACATAACAAAATCATGAAACATAAATAAAATAACACCATAATCACAGTGATTTCATCCCTCAAAAATAATATAAACAGAATATATCTGATACATTACAAGAAATCTTCAACATAAATCTGGACTTAAAATTATTTGCACAAAGTTATCTTGCTTCAGAATCTATTTCTTTTGGCATTTATGAAAATACAACAATAAATTGTCTCAAAAAAAACCCCAATAACAACAACAACCACATACCCATAAACAAACAAAAAGAAATAGTAATATCTATAACAATATGCCAGATAAAAAATGACTGGAAGAGAAAACAACAGAAATTGTTTAATGTGAGCTTTTTAGTGATAAAATACAGTCTTCAGATATAGCATAATTCAGTGTTTCTTCAAAAAGTTAATTGAGTATCACTACTTTCAGTTTCATTTTATCTTTTTTTTTTTTTTTTTGTTACTACTCTTTTGGCAAGTAACAAAAAAACAAGGGAAAAACATCAAGTATCTATACTATCAATCCCATTGAGTGTGCTTTAAAAAATCCTTTGTTTCTTATTCTCTACTCTGAGGCTTTCACTGTAATTAATTTAATAAAATTAAAAATTTTAGATTTAGATTTAAATGGAATGTTTTGAAGTTATTACTGTAGATAATTTATTATATCATTATATTTTACTATTTTATTTTATTCTATTGTATGTGTATGTATGTGTGTGTAATATGAAAGAGCCTTACTCAAAAGAAATAAAATCTTGATTTGGAAGAAATGGTCATTTTGTCTGCTTAATTAGAAATTGACTGCAATGAGGGTGCAAGGAGGAAAGCAAGACCAGTAAGATGGCTATTGTCATAATCTGTGAGGAAGATGGTAGGAAAGTTCAGATACAGCCAGATACTGCAAATATTTTAAAGATATATCTAATGGGATTTACTGAAGGTTTACACTAGAGAGTAACAATGATCAATTAAGGTCAAGATATGGGGTCTGAACAAGAAGAAGGAGGTAGATGCTGCTATTTACTGAGATAATGAAGTTACTGAACACAGTAGGTTGTTTTCTTAATGAGAGGAGGAGTGGGAAAGAGATCAGGATTTGGGAGTTTTAACATTTTAAATTGGGAATGCTTATAATTCATCTAATTTTCGGTTCAAATAAGCAACTGGATATGTCTGAAATTCTGAAGAAAGGGCTGGCTTAGAAATATTGGTATGAGCATCCTCAGCATCTAAATAGTATTTGAAGTTTTGCAATTAGATGAAGTGACTAAGTGAGTGATGTCCAAGGACAAACCTCTGGAGTGATCCAGTGTAAATATGTTTTATAGATGAAGAGAAATCAGCAAAGGAAAATACGAAGTAGCCGATAAGGCAGAATTAAAAGCAGATGGATGTGATGTTATAGAAGACACACTAAGGAAGTGTTTCTTGGAGAAGACATTTTTATCAAGCACAGATTAAACAATCCTGCAAAGCTTCCCCCACAGAACCTGGCACTTTTTAAATATTATCTGTTATTTTTCAGTTGTCCCTGGACTCTGAGGTTTATCTAATCCAACAGAGGCTTCTGGCCATCCATCAATTGTGGTAGTTAATGGCGCTATTCTATGATCAGGGTTATGTCATGTGTGTCAAAGCTATCTGACCTATCAGTAGAAACAGTGCCTCCCTGCTGGTCTAAACATGAGATTTTACACTTGGGTTCTTATTGCTAGACAGTTATTGACAGTTATTTTCATTGAAAGGACACCATATAACTACCCTTATAACCTACCTTAAGGTCAGTGCCTATCAGTCAGAGAGGTTGATATTTCTGCCAGGCCCGGAACATATAAAGAAAATGCCTCTAGCCTTTTCTCAGATATTTCTCCTCTCCCTGGGTCATACTTAGTGAAATCCCTTTCATATCCCTTTTATATCATCCATATTTCTTTCTTCACCCTTATCTTCCATAATGAGATTTAAAGGCTCATTGGAAAAGGAAATTGGATGCTTTAGAAGGTCAAATTCCGGTCTCTAATGCCACAGAGTAGAGTGTCTTTATTTTGAGTAAGAGAAACCCAGGACTCAAAGTCAGAAGCTATAAATTTTGTATTCTCTGACTCGAGAGGAGAGGAAAAAAGGCTAATATTTATTGGAAACTCACAGTGTACCAGATGTTAGTGTATGTGCCTTGACATAGATTATTTCAATTATATCTCCCAATATCTATTAACTTTTGTATTGTTATAGGTTTCATTGTATAAATGAAGAAATTGAGAAATAATCACAAAATTAAGAGGTGGAGCCTGGCTTTAAATTCAGGCTCTCTGAATCTAGATTTAGGATTTTTAACCATAATGCTTTCCTGACTCAATATATTCTGAGCAGAAAAAGAAGGAAAAAAGTGGATTAAATAATTTATCTACACTGTAAACATTTATGTAAAATTTAACACATTTGTTTAAATTGTAAGATAAACTCATGCAAAATTAAATACATAAACCTTAGGAAAATCATTACTGTATTTCCTCACATATATATTCAGAAAATATTATTCATATTCACTCTTACTACTTTCAGATGAGATAAAATAATGAAATTTTGGAATCAGATATGAAATTATTTTACATCTCGCCATTAGCTCATTTTTTAATCCTTATGCTATAAGAGTATCATGGATATTCTGTGCTGTTAGTTTCAAGTTTATATGTTACACTATACTGAATAGCAGCCATGTCAATTACTTATTATTTGATTTATGTTTTCTCTCTGAAGGCAACTGATCGAGAGGGAGACTCAATAACATATGCCATTGAAAATGGAGATCCTCAGCGAGTTTTTAATCTTTCAGAAACGTAAGTTAGAAATGATTCCTGATTTTTTTTTTCCTTTTTAAATGTTAATGTACTGATAGCAGGAGAACAGACTTCTAATCAGAGGATTTCAGCTGTTTGTAGTTTGATTTTATATTTTTTTTCTATGAATGTTAATGAGAGCTGGGGGGAATAATTCTGAATCCAGAAATTTTACCCAGGAGACTATTTATTAATTTTAAACATGTTTTACTAGATAAAATCCACTGAGGTGGAAACATTTCATTTGCAGGCATAACCTGGGACTAATTATATCTGTCTAAAGTTGTCAGCTCCTCATAATAACAAGGAAATTTTTACGAAGAGTAACAGCACTAAATAGTTCACTCAAAGGGAATTTTTTTAAAACAAACTGTCATTCAGACACATTTAGAGTGCCACCAAACTCCATCATTCAACTTTTGAGTAATGTAGGTATATTTTTAAAGAGTTAACATAAAAATATTGCAAGTCCATGCTAAGGCTGTTTGTGGTCTGTATAAACGTCATTTTACTCACCTCCAAACATATCAGAGATAATGTTAACCATAACTTTTGAGAAAACTTGAAGTAGGCATTAAGAAGGAATTGAGGTTTGCAGAGGGATCATTTACTTCCTTCTGCGATAGCAAATTAGCTATTCTGCTGTCACATGGGGCTGTTTGTTAAAGAGCTGTACTTGATACCTCTCTGATATTTTCTTTGTGGTCACTGAAAGAAAGGAGACCCGAACTTAGCCCATGGTTGTAAAATGAAAAAAATGGCAAATGACCTAGGCATTGCTTCAGTCTTAGGAATATGTGGTACATGATGCCAAATCAAAGGTACCATGCATGGTCACATGGTCTTGTGAGGAATAGCTGCAATTCTCATGTCAAATAGGATGTTACAACCATGAGTTAACATGCCTGGAAACAAGATTTCCCAGATTTTTAGATTTCACAAATGAATAAACTTCCATTTAAAAAATGAAAGACTTAACCATTTTGAATTTTCCCCTATGGATAAATACAAATCGTAAATTAGCTATAATTAACAATCATCATTAAGAAAGAAAAAAAAAATTTAAAGGAACTTTAACAGTAATAAAGACTGTGTGGTACTGGTAAAAAAATAGATGTGTAGATCACTAAGATAAACGTAAGTTCAGAAATAACTCCTAACATTTATGACCAATTTATTTCTAAAAAAAGAAAAATGAAAAGAGAAGAAAGAAAGAAAGGAAAAAAAAGGAAAGAAAAAAAAGAAAAAGAGCCAAGACAATCCAATCAGGAAAGAATAATCTTTTCAGCAAACAAAGCCAGGACAGCATGTTAAAAAATGAAGTTGAATCTTTACCTCATACTATTTGCAAATATTAATTCAAAGTGGACAGAGATAAAACTATATAACTCTTAGAAGAAAATACAGAAGTAAATCTTCATGGTTTGAATTAGGCAATGCTTTCTTAGATATGACTCAAAAAGCACAAGTAAGTAATAAGAAGACTGAAGTTGGATCTCATCAAAATTTGAAAAACAACACTGCTTCAAAGGACATCATAAAGAAAGTGAAAGAAAGACAACCCACAGACTGAGAGAAAATATTTTCAAATAATGCATATGATAAAAGACATGTATCAAGAATATTTATAGGCTAGCCTAGACCTTTAGCAATATATTTTAACACATTTGAAATGGAGGGATACTGAAATTTCAGTCCTTCTCTTTGAAATTTCTGGGATATTTATGCACATCTGCACCACCACTTCCATGTAAGTTGTAAGGATTTTAGTAATTTAAGTACTCTTTCAGAAAACAATGGAAAAGAAATAATGTTCTGCCTTATAAGATATTTCATACAAATAGTGTTATTGGTTATATTTTCTTTCTTAAAATAAATATTAAAACTACATATTATAGTTTTAAATAAATACTGTGTTGTTTTTACTTTAAATATTATTTTATGCTATGATACAAATTTTAGCAATAAACATTATAATATCATTACTTTATCTTTTTTCCATTGAAATAAAAATATGCCAGAAAATTTTTATAATTCTTTAAAAAATATTAGTAGTAATGAATAATCATTTTAATGCTAGTATAGATTGATAAAATATTGAATTGTTGTATACAGTCTGAGTTAAATAGTCATAGTCAAAAAAGAAACTCATTCTTTAAAGAAAAGACCTTTGTTTCATAAAAATCACAACCATTTGTTATGAAAATCATTGAATATCATATATTGAATGGCCAGACCTGTATGATTCTGTATTATTTTAATTTTCATAGTGTCTGCAATGATAGTTGCATATGATTTAGCAAATATTTATTCAGCAGACATTCACATATAAGTACATGTTTAAACAAAATGTAAAGAAACTTTGTAAGTATGATTACCAAATTTTTAAGTTATTTATTACAAGTGATTGAAGAATTTTTATAGACTGACAATCTATAAAGGTATGTGATGTAACACTTAAAGGCTTAGTCTGCTCCTCATTAGAATTTTATGTGATTTTTTTTTTCTTCACTGGCATTTTTATTTCTTTCTATGTGACCAAATTCATTTTGACACTAAATTTAAAGCTTGATTATGTTTTTCATATCACTTCAAACTTTGATTACACTGGAGATTAATATGTAAGGAAGATGATATATGTTTTCTTTTCTGTCAGTTCTACTTTCAGAATATATATCAAATAAAACTACTTCTCACACCCTTCACTCCACCACCTTAGTTTATGCCACCATCATTTTTTTCCTAAACTGCTACCAATACCTAACTGCTTCCATTGGTCTGTATTTGTTGATCACTAATTATATTTAACATAGAATGCTGTATCAAACTTGAAGCAATCACACGTTTTGAAGTATATTCTAATCTCTTTAAATATCATTATAAGGCTTGTAACATGATACCCAAAAGCAATATGATAAATTGGCCAAAGATTCAGACACTTGTAAGTATAAATGATGGTAAATTGCAAATAATAGAAAGTATTAAAAATGTTTAAAGGAAGGATAGAATACAAAGCACAAAACCTGTCAGATCATCTCTCTCAGTCCATAATATTGCTGCTGCAATATTTCCTAATAAAGAGTGTAATTTGGGAAAATGGGTACTTATAGAAACAGGTTTTAAATGCTAGCTCATTGGTTTGTTTGGAAGTAGATACCCTCTACTACTTTTTATATACCGTATGTTTAAACAACTTTTGAAAATCATTCTATTGTTAGGCAATCCAACTCGTTGTCCAAAAGGGCTTGATTTTATTAAGCCCCATACATTTCAGAAATATAGCCTTGGAGTTTGGTGAGGAAATTCTGTTCAATATAATTAATACAATTGAGTTGGAATTCACATAGCATAAAATTAACCATTTTAAAGTTAATGAGTCATTGCTTTTAGTAGACTCACAAAGCTGTGCAATTACTAATTCCATCTACTTACAAATATCTTCATTCCAAAAGGAAACACAAGCTCATTAAATAAACAGTTTTTCCCTACTACCCTTTTCCTCAGCCCCTGGAAACCAATAATTTGTTCTATCTGTATGGATTTATTTAGTCTAGATATTTCATATAAATGGAATGACACAATATGTGACATTTTGTGTCTGATTTTTTTCATTTAGCCTAATGATTTGACATTCACCTATGTAGAAACATGTATCTGTACTTCATTCCTTTTTATAGCTGCATAACATTTCATCATATTTGTATATAGAAATCTGTTTATCTATTTATAAATTGATGGATGTTCGGACTGTTTTTCTAAATTGTGGCTATTGTGAATACTGCTACTATGAACATATATGTGTATGTGTTTAAGTATCTGTTTTCAATTCTTTTGATTATATACCCACAATTGAATTTGCTCGGTCATATTGTAATTCTATGTTTACTTTTTAAGGAAATAACAAACCATTTTCACAGTGATTGAACCATTTATATTCTACCAGCAATGTACAAGGGTTCCAGTTCTTCCACGCCTTCATCAACATGTTATTTTCCCATCTGTTTGTTTTGTTGTTGTTGTTGTTTTGTTGCTGTTGTTGTTTTGTTGTTGTTGTTAACTATGGCCATCCTAGTGAGTGTGAAATGGTATTTCATTGTAGTTTTGATTTGTGTTTCCCTGATAACTAGTGGTATTGAACATCTTTTCATGTACTTGTTTGCCATTTGTAAACTTTTTTGGAGAGATATCTATTTAAGTCTTTTGCCTATTTTTTTAAAATTAGATTGCTTGTTTATTTGTTATTGAGCTTTAAAAGCTCCTTGTTTATTTTGGGTACTCTTATTAGATATACGGTTTGCAAATATCTTCTCCCATTTTGAAGGTTTTTTTCACTTCATAGATAATGTCCTTTGATGCACAAAATTTGTAATTTTATGAAGTTCAATTTATTTATTTTCCTCTTGTTGCTTATGCTTTTGATATTATGTTTAAACATCCATTGTCTAATCCAAGATCATTAAATTTACTCTTATCTTTTTGTCTAAGAGTTTTATGGTTTCAGCACTTAATTTAGATTATTGTTTCCTTTTGATTTAATTTTCATATATGGTATAAGATAGTCTAATTTCATTCTTTTGCAATTGTAGATCTCCAATTGCCCCATCACCATTTGTTATAGAGACTGTTCTTTCTCTCTTGAATGATTTTGGCATCTTTGTTGAAAATCAATTGGCCACAGATGTATGGGTTTATTTCTGGACTTGCAATTTTATTCTATTCCCTACTATACATGGGCACTTTTGAATTCCCTAATTTCCCAAGAAACTTTCTAAGCAATTTCTCAACCCAGATTTTTGGAGCTCTATTTTATGCCTCAACTATAATCTTTTGCTTTAGGTCACTGGAGGTTTACTGCCTGCCTTACAATGTTTTCCAGGAATACCCACTGCTTTTCTGCCTTGAGTGAGTTCTGAGTTAGGCAAAATTAAGACAATACCCTATATTTTTCATTCGAACAGCCTCCAGACTAGTTACAATAGGCAAACATAATTCTTTGGGAATAAAGATAGCTCTGCTTCTTCCAGAAACAGGGATCAGAACGTCACACTGGGATTGTCACAGCCATCTTTAAGATCACTCCAAGCTGGGGCGGGGGATGAAGGGGAGGCTAAGGACAAGTAAATATGCCACAATGCTTTTCTACCACTTTGAAGCTGCCTTTTTCTTGATTCTGCCTTTATTGGTTGCTGCCAACTTTTGACCGTTCTCTAGAGTTTTATCAAAGTTGGTTCTGATCCTTCCTGCTTCATTTTTTATCGTTGTTAAATGTTTTTATGGAAAGACCATCTCTTGGAGCTGCTTACTCATCATTTTCATTGATATCACTTCTGTGCAATATATTTCCAATAATGTAAAATTTGAGTAGCACTTTTATTAATGTTTTATCAGAAGTGAATCTTATGTGTTTTTACTACATGAATTTACAGGATTTACAGCATTCCTAAATGTAATCCAAGGTATCCTGCTCTATAACTTCCATCTAGCTGGTAATAAGACTCCTCCAGTTATTTCTAGAATTTCATGAAAGGACAATTATGTGTATCCATAAACTAGTCTTTCAGCTGTGAATACCAAAATATACTATGTATTTCTTCCCTCTTTCTTTATCTCCCAAATATCTTGTCCAACTGCCTACTACATTGGGACACAGGCACCTGTTATCTGAAGCAAAGGACTATCTCCATAATAATCGTCAGACCTGTTTATGTACAATGAAAATGCTATATAAATTTCTAGTGATTTTTCTAATTCATTAAATAAGGAAAAATATAAAGTCTTAAACCTTAAACTGAGGGAGAAAATGGAAAACAATACGATTTTCTTTTTTCTTTTTTTTTGCACTAGGCTAGGTTTTCAGATTTCCTATTTCTTAAGTTACTTGTGAATAAGTCTCAGAAGCAATAAATGTCTTACTTTTCTCTTTGATTGTCATTTTAAAACAAGATTATCTGAACCATCTGCAATGTGGGAAGTTGATCCAAACCTAATTGTTATGAACTACTCTGGGAATTGGTTTTCAGTTATTTTGACAAACATTTTAAAATATACAAGAAGCAAAGTCAGTTTTTCATAGCCATACCATATGTTTAGAACATTTATTAAGTCCATAATAACAACAACAAAATAAAACAGAGTAACTGAGACTCTGATTTTGATTCATTGGTGTTGACTCTCTGCACTCAACTACCATATGTGGTGTTAATTGCTTGAATTTCACTGTAACAACAAAAGCACTTGCATTAAAATGAAAGCCTTTTATCAATCAGAAATAAATTATCTTTTTATCTCTGATATTTTAATGTTTTGTTATATTAATATAATCTCTCCTCCACAGTAATGTTTGTTAGGTCTTAATTAAAATATCATGTACAATGTTAGATTATAATATCTGAGACATACATGTAGAACTTGTCTTGAGAATATTATGTGACCAAACTGTTATAAAACAAATTACATGGAAAATACTTAAATATTTAGACGCATTTATTTAGAATAGTAAAATGTTAAGAAGTATTATTAAATATATTCTCAGTATGAAAATTTTCCCAGAAGCTGTTCATCTTTCATTATATATAATAAGTTAAATTAAGAAATACATAAATTTCAAAAGAATAGTTAAATCGATATATTGATAAGATATATGTTTTTGTTATAAAATGAAAGAATAAATGCTCATAAGATTAATTTTTCTTTAAAAAGAATGAGAAATATGCAGTTTGATTCCTGTTTTGAAAACAATTATAATGTATTTAAATATTGTTTTAATGAAATAAAAAGAAATATTACAAAAATAAGCATAATATCTATAAAAATTTTAATATTCCACTGTGTATTTTCTAATTTTCCACAACAAACCTCAATTATTTTAAAATTAGAAAAGAAGAAGAAATAAAATTTAATTGCTAGAATTTGTCAAAGATGGAATTCAGATGTTTGTGTTTCCATAATGGACACATATGTTACAATGAATGGGAATGTTGAAATAGATGAGTTATAAGAAACCATTACTTGACTCAAAGGATTATAAAAGTGTTATAATGGAGTCTTTTACCTTTGAAATAATTACAAACAAGATAGATATAATTCTTTCTGGAATGAATTAAGTATAGTTTTATTCTTTTCTTAGAGGATAGAGAATTTACTCAGTAATCTCATTCAGATTAGCATTTTTGTTTGTTTGTTTGTTTTTTATTGCTAAGAAATGCAACAGCCTTAAAAGCTTTTCATCAATTTTCATCATGAATCCTAGAATCATAAATCTAAAATACTAAAGCTATGTTTGCTGATGGGGAAAATCATATCGAAAGTAGTTCAGCATAGTAGAAAAGACTCTTAGTGACAATATAGCTTTTAATCTTATTTGTTTTCTTTGTCACCAGTACTGGGATTCTAACCTTAGGGAAAGCACTGGACAGGGAAAGCACCGATCGCTACATTCTGATCATCACTGCATCTGATGGCAGACCAGATGGGGTGAGTAGACTCCCTGGGAAAAGATTTTAAAAACATTAAAAAACTGAGAGAGCCCTATAGTTTTAGACTCTAAAACAATTGATCACAATCATGAATTCATGAATTAATCTCTTTTTTTTGCTGGAGCAACTACTTATAATTGTATAGAGAACGGTTTTTTTTTCTCCAGTGGTTCCTTTTAATAGATGAATTTATACTCTGAATTTGTTATGGTGTTAAAACTTTTGACTTGTGATTGGTGTTGCTACCCAATTCATGGGAGAAATGAAATCTAACTTAGTCTGGGAAGTGTTCCATTGTGTCCATCATCAGCACAGCACTCTAGGAGTTTTACTATGTTGGAACCTGATTGCTTTAATGTTACTTTGAGGGGGAATGTGGAGGTGGGAGCATGTGTCAGAAGGGAATTGAGGATAGATATTTTGAAGTACTTAGGAGAACAAGTTGATTGATTCCACAGGTTATTTGTAAGCAGTACTCAGAATCTTTGATAATTAAAGTGGTTTAAATGGGCCCATAAATGTACAAAAGATAAATTTTATTTCCTCTGCACCTAAAAATTAATTAAGAATAAATAAATTATTGAGTCATTCTGGAGTGTTTTATTTTTTTATTTTTTTAAATTGATTTATTTAAATTAGTTTCAAGTATACAGTACATTGGTTAGACATCTATATAGTTCATAAACCGATCCCCCCAATTGCTCCCTCCCTTCCCTGGCCCTCCACCTTGCCATCATATTAATGCTAACTGCTTTCCCTCTGCTGCACTCCCCATCCCTGTGACTAACGATCAACTAGTAATTTGTACTTCTTTAATCCTTCACCCCATTCTCCCAGTTCCTCAACTCTCCTCCCTTCTGTCCATCACCAAATTGTCCACTATATCTGTTTTTGATTAGTTTGTTCTTTTTGTTCCTTAGATTCCTCATGTAAGTGAAATCATATGTATTTATCTTTCTCTGTCTGACTTATTTCACTCATCATAATAACCTCCAGGTCCATCCATGTCATTGCAAATGGTAGGATTTCATTTTCTTAATGGCTGAGTAATATTCCATTGTATATATGAACCATAATTTCTTTATCCTGTCTTCTGTTGATGGGCACTTAGGTTGCTTCCATATCTTGGCTATTGTAAATTGTACTGCCATAAATATTGGAGTGCATAGATCATGAATTATTGTTTTGGTTTCCTTTGTATAAATACCCAGAAGTGCAATTGCTGAGTCAAAAGGTATATCCATTTTTAATTTTTTGAAAAATCTCCGAACTGTTTTCCATAGTGGCTGCACCAATTTGCAATCCCACCAACAATGTATGAGGGTTACCTTTTCTCCACATCCTCGTCAACACTTGTTTTTTGATTTATTGATGATAGCCATTCTGACAGGTGTGAGGTGATATCTCATTGTGGTTTTAATTTTCATTTCTCTGATGGTTAGCGACCTTGAGCATCTTTTCATATGTCTATTAGCCATCTGTATTTCCTCTTTGGAGAAGTATCTGTTCAGGTCTTCTGACCATTTTTTAGTTGGATTGTTTGGGGTTTTTTTGTTTGAGTTATATAAGTTTTTTTTATGTATTTTGGATATTAATCCTTTATTAGATATATCATTAGCGAATATCTTCTCCCAAACAGTTGGCTTTCTTTTTGTTTTGTTGATGGTTTCCTTTGCTGTACAAAAACTTTTTAGTTTGATGTAGTCCCATTTGTTTATTTTTTCTTTTGTTTCCCTTGCCTGAGGAGATATATCTGAAAAGAAATTCTTGTTAGTAATATCAGAGAGTTTACTGCCTATGTTTTCTTCTAGAAGTTTTATGGTTTGGGGTCTTACATTTAAGTCTTTATTCCATTTTGAGTCTATTCCTGTATACGGTGCAAGAAGATGGTCCAGCTTCTTTTTTGCATGTACCTGTCCAATTTTCCTAACACCATTTATTGAAGAGATTGTCTTTACCTCATTGTATATTCTTACCTCCTTTGTTATATATTAAGTGAGTGTATAGGCATGTATTTATTTCTAGACTCTCTATTCTGTTCTATTGATCAATGTATCTGATTTTATGCCAGTACAATGCTGTTTTGATTACTGTAGCCTTGTAGTATAGTTTAGTATCAGGTAATGTGATACCTCCAACTTCATTCTTTCTCAAGATTGCCGTGGCTATACAGAGTTTTTTATGGCTCCATATAAACTTTAGGATCATTTGTTCTATCTCTCTGAAAAATTCCATTGGTATTTTGATAGGAATCGCATAATTGAAAGATAAACCATATGTCATATCAATAGAAAAAGCATTCGACAAAATCCAGCATCCATTTATGATAACAACTCTCATCAAAGTGGGAGTAGAGGGAACATACCTCAACATAATAAAGGCCATATATGACAAACCTACAGCTACCATCATACTAAATGCAGAAAGGCTAAAAGCATTTTCCTTATGATCAGAAACAAAACAAGAATGCCCGTTTTCACCACTCCTCTTCAACATTGTATTGGAAATCTTAGCCACAGCAATAAGACAAGAAAGAGAAATAAAAGGCATCCCAATTGGAACAGAAGAAGTAAAACTCTCATTATTTGCTGATGACATGATACTATATATAGAACACTGTAAAGATTCCACCAAAAATCTGTTAGAATTAATCAATGGATTCAGTAAAGTAACAGGATACAAAATAAATATTCAGAAGTCAGTGGCATTTTTATACAACAATGATGAACTTTCAGAAAGAGAAATAAAAAAAATCTCATTTACAATTGCATTGAAAACTATAAAATACCTGGGAATCAAATTAACCAAGTAGGTAGAAGACCTGTTTTCAGAACATTCTGGAGTGTTTTAAAATCATTAGACACTATTCTTCAAACTACCCTACCCACAACCACCACCATTCTGATTTTTAAGCATTGTAACATTTCAGTTTTGAGCAACATATCATTAGACTATTTTTTTTTCTCCCACCATTTCTATGCCACAGGTTGTTTGCTTCTTTAGTTAAGTGGTTATGGGCTAACTCAGCACTGTTCTCTAGATATAATTTCAAATTCCGAATAGGTATATAGACAAGACTTACCCAATTCAAATAGTAACATATCTCCAGTTTACTTAAAATTACTTCTTTGGTCTATATGATAGATTGTTTGGGGGCATATAACGTTCTCTTCACATTTATTTGAGAATTGCTGAGAATATTAACATGATAAACACATATCAGATTTTTACCTGGACAGTTTTATTATCTTAATTAAAAATTAGAAAAATAGATAGGGATAAATAATTAAATTTGGTAATTATAATATGCCCATAATAAGCTATTTGCCATTTTTCAAACATTAGATAAACAGCTATATGTAGAAAACAAAATATACAGAACAGTTTTAGTAAATAGTGAAACTAACAGAAGCCACTTAGATAAGTGAGGAAAAATAAATTCTAAGATTAATTTTTATGTATGCAATGCCTTTGATTAATATAGTGTGCCTGTGCTAAATTTATGTAAAGAAGTCAGTGAGAGTCTCAAGAATAAAATAATTGAAGAACTTGATTTATGATGAAAGTTTAATGGGTAACTTGGCTAGGAAATAACCATGGGAGAAAATTCTAAGGAGAAGGAGAAATTATTCAGCATAGAGTATGGGCATAATTAGAATGAAGTAAAATTAATAAGGAACATTCAGGTCAACCATTAAGATAGAAAAAAAAAGAAATAACACATAGCTTTGAGTTATGTCACATTATAAATCAGAAATTAATGTCAGTAATATTAGCTAGGCTATTTTAATCTTGGCCTTAAAAATAAAATTTCTTAGACAAGAGAACAGATAGAAAGAAATGTTATATAGTATATTAAAATACCTGACATAGTCTCAATCTACTAATTTTGATTTTGTCCATATCAAAAACTGAAAATAAGTTGAGTTAAAATGAGTGGTTTAGTTAATGCTCCTAGACCATTTTTTGTTGTTATCTGTGTATTTTAATTTCCCTGGGCCAGGTCACTTAGCATTTCTAATTTTCAATTTTTTTCATTCTTTTGGTCATTCAGGTTTCATTCAGCTTTAAAATTCTGATCCTTTTAAGTAAATTGTTTTATTTTCAAAAGTTTATTGTGAGAGTATCAATAGAGAAAGAAACATTTAGATTTAAAACAAAAGCTAAAGGAAAAAGTGATTATAAAATAATAATATTCTTACATCTGAATATTATTATTATTATTATTAAAATAATAATCTAAATCTAAACATTTAAACATGTTTTTTTGCAAAGTTATAGTAAAATTAACCTTTTAACCAAAATATCAAGGGTCTCAAGAAAGATATTTAATGAGCATAGACTCCTTGTAGATAGACTTTTCTTAAGTCAAAATAATTACCAGTAATATGTGTGAATCAAATTGCAAAGATATAATTTGAGAATTCTATCATGAAAAACCCCCTCCCCTACCACCCCTAAAGTGTTTTGGGGCTTCAAAGAAGAGAATTAATATTCTATTGCTCGTTGCTAATTTTTTAAAAGAATATTGTGGTAATTGCTGAATTTTTATAAAATATTGAGGGAATTATTTAGAAAATATTTCTATATAATAATTTGGAAACAGGAAATTTTCTCTGACAGTCTTACATTTTTTTCCCTTTTCTAAATTTATTTTGTCAATAATAGTTGAAAAAAACTATACATATAAGTTAAATATCTCATGTAATGCATTATTATAAATATTAAGATTTCTTCAGTTATTATGATTACAGATAAAATCATATTTTCTAGATTCTAAAATCTACATTCTTTTAGTTCGAATAAAGAGAAGCAATTGTGAATAAATGACTAAGTGGGGAAGCTAAAGAATGACAAGATTATTTTAGCAAGGTCTGCTTGCATAAAATTCTCTTGGTCTCATCCTCTAGCTCTTGAATATTACTTTCCTTTTAGTACGGGGCAGCCAGGATATCTCTTATATGGAAATTTCATCTCTTGCTTTTAAGAAAAAGAATA